AATATACAAAATGAACACAAATACAGTCTTTTCTCTCTCTCTCTCTCTCTGTCTGTCTTTCTTGCTAGATGTTTCCTGTGGGAATCCTCCCAAGGTTGAAAATGGTAAGATGATCTCAAAACCGATGATGAAGTATCCACCGGAAGAGAAAATACGTTATGAATGTGACAAACCTTATAAACTCTATGGAGAGGTAGAAGTGATGTGCATGAATGGAACCTGGACAGAACCACCTCAGTGCAAAGGTAAAATCTATTAGTTCTTAAATATTTGTCTACTATATTTACCCCTGTGATTTTTAATCACCCCCATTGTTTTCTGTCTTTCTTTCATTTTTCAATTCTCTTTGTGTTATGAAATTAATTTTACTATTTACTGAATACGGGTTTGCTGGAGACAAGTTCTTTTACTTGACCTTAGAGAATGGCTGTACCACTCCACTGGTCTGGAGGATGGTGTTCGTTATATACACATTTGTGGTTGACATTTCTTTTTTTATTCTGAATTTGAAAAATGCTTAATCACTACATTCTGATATCCATGGATTGCAGATGAAAAATCCACCGTTATTTGAGTCCTTGTGTCTCATTCCCAACTGTCAGTCACTTCGTTCTGACTCACTGCAGACTTATGGAGTGTGTTCAAAGACTGTAAATCTTTCACAGAACAGATAGTCTTCTGCATCCTTTCTTTCTAGCCGCACCCAAGCTTCTTTCTCTTCCTTTATTTTCATCATTTGATTATGGCGTCTTGATGTACGTTCCTCTGGGTTTCACTTGACTGGAGTTCATTCAGCTAATATGCAAGTGTATGTTTTAGAGCTAATTGAAAAATCTTAGCTATAACATTTATATTCATTTTTCAACCTCGTTTTGGAACCCCAAATCTTTTTTCCCCCCACAGAACCTAAATCTCTGATTATCTTTGTTTATTTGTTTTCATTACATTTCTATTAGAAAATACACATTATTTTATCTTCAGCTTTCAGATTCACTCACCTGTGGTCTTAAACAATTTTCATGAATTTCATTGAATTAAAAATGAATTATGCTCTTATTTTTTCAGGTTCATCATCCCCCTTAAATTTTAAAAGCTGTCAACTAATTTCCACGTCTAAGTCATCTGAGTGTTGTCA